TTGGCAGTTTCTGTTTTTGGTCGCTTATCATTTGGGTCATACTCAATAGATGTATAGCCATGTTTAAATCCTACAATTTTTATCGTTAATAATGAAAGTACAAACTTCTGATACATCTTCGGTAGGTTTGAATGAATTTTTGTTGTAGATAACCGTACAGAACTGAGGGTTTTACAGTTGAAGGGCATTCATTTAGTCAGAAACGTGGTGCGCTTACTGTAAATATCTACATGCAACTGTTTTTGTTATTAAATTAGCTATTTAATTTTGCAACAAGCTTGCTACAGTAGGCGCCAGTTGCAAAAATCCCGTGCAAATCCTTATTTTCGTACCGAACGGTAACTATTCTGTGCCATTAATTATATAAAAATCATAATCACGCCACTGCCTATTTGGATACAGTCGGCACACGATCTTCCTATGTGGCGTTTACAGTAACACGATACACCACTAATTTGTATCAATACCATCTATGAGCCATACGAAGAACTTTTTACCTTTGTGCATTTTTACAACTTGCATTAATAATCGTTCTACTCTTAATTAATTCATCGTGAAAATGATGCAATAAAAATACCGGTACTTATAATATTTTCAAGGTCAAGTAAAGGCTCAAAAAGTATTAACATCGCGTGATCTCTGCCGGTCTATTTGTTGGCTGAAAGATGGTAAAATAGCGCCAGAGGGAGTAGGGGGTGAGTCGTATCGTAGTCGTATAACAGATTATATTAACTTGCGCATTATTTTTATGTTACTGATGGAATTTTCATGAAAACTGAAAAATTTGATAGTTTAAAAACTTTTTAAAGTTTGATAATTACAAAGAACCACTTAATCTACTTCCCAGATGTTGAAAATAATATTTCTGAGCTTGGACAGTATATTTTTGTGTACCTTTAATGTATCCCCGGTCTAGTCCGATAATAAACGCCAGAACCAAAGTAAACCTTACCTTTTTCTTACCCCTGTATCCCCTGCAGCTTATGCCAACGCACAGAAACGCAAGTATACCATTATGTGCTTTTTTTAAATAACAATCTTTTTATATAACTGCAAGAACGTCTAATATATTTTATTTTTGTTATTTGTGTTGTTAACAGATTTATTAGTTTATAAACATTCTACTGCTCATGGAACATTTTATTTAAGTATTAAAGTAAGTTTAGGTTATGATTATTTTGTTTTAAAAAAGATATACGTACATATTTTTATATGAAACATTAAGATGGCGTTACTGTACAGGAACTTGCATCATTTTAAAGAGAAACAACAACACCAAATGACATTTTCAGTTAGCGAATGTTTCTATGGTTCGATGGGTCAGTTGAACAATATCCAAACTATTGAATTGTGTGCAGACGTGTCTCGATATACTTTTATATTTTTAGAGAATGTTTCAGATTTAGCTTATGGAAATTTTTCTACTGCAGCATTGAAGCATTTTATACTAGATAAGCAGAAATGAATGTAGACTTTGTCATTGGATGTATGGTGTCTTTTCAGTTTCAATTTAATATGTATACAGATGAATTAATCCATCTCCACAGGTAGAGCTTTTCCTCATACATTATGTTGCCTGTTTGCAGTAGTGAATTTCTAATTAAGTTAACAAAAAGTCAAACTATGTGTTTGAAACATTGAATTCAATACACCACTACTAGGAAACATGACAGACAGCTTAAAAATATGGAGCGTGTCAAAGGATCGTAGAACGATATATGCTTTAAACTGGACGATTACAAAATTAAACCGAATGTATGATACCATCTGTGAGATTGCAAACTTCACTATGTGATAATGGGAATACTGAAACTATTTATTTAAAACCAAGTCAGAAGGAAAGTAAATAGAGAGAATCGTACTAACTGAAGAGGAAGCAGATAAAACAGTTAAAAAGGGCCTTATCTAATCTGTTGTCTGAGTGACAAGGAAAGCTCAAGATTCTAGATGTTAGAGGATTCATTTAGAAGTGAAAAATATAAAAAAAAATAGAACAAGTAGGTTTAATGTTTCTCTAGACCAATATATGTCCAAAGCAAAAATAAACAATTGCAGTTACCTTATTTGGTCTTTAATAAAAATTATTGGAATTATTTATTTATTGTCCAAGAGGAGGTACGATTTTTGAGAGAAATAAAGAAAATACAAAGTCGTTACCTACTAGCTATGTTTATTGCTGGTTAAATCGGAAACTCAGTATGCTAACAAATTGGATATATACTAAATTGGATAATATAGAAATAGAAATTGTTCATATAATACATTATATTTTTAAAATATCTATCTATATAAATATTCCTTGATGACCTGGTAAAATATTGATTTTCAAAATGCTCTCAATAATAAATGTTATTTAAAATAAAAAAATGAAAATTAATAAAAAACTAATTGATCATATGTATGTAGTAAACTTTACATCTGAATACAATCTATATACATTTTATAAACAAGACAAGACATACAAGAAAATTAAAAACAAAAAAAAATTGACCCCTGATATACTTATAGATGTTTAACTCTTCACTGGTGACTGTATACTTTGAAGGGCACATTCAAAAAATGTCAACTTGTGTCAATCTTTAGTAGAGAACCAAAATAATAGAAATAACTTACATTAATGGTTGTTTCACCATACATTTGGTTGTATTCGACACGGGTCCATATAATGACGAATAAATGGACGAACTGCTTTCGTAGGAAGCCATGGAATTGAAGGACACTAGCTCAACATGTTTCGTCATCTTGATAACAACAGATCAGACAGAAATTGTGAAAACCATACAACTGACCTTCGACACCGCCAAAATTAGAATCAATCTCTGTCTCGCCGAAAGAACACGGGCCCCTCTTTCGAACGGGTAAAAATTTAACACAAACGCAAATTTCTTCGACGTTGGGTCTTCAGTGGGCTATATAAATAAACAGTTAGATTATGTTTATTCTGGTTCGAAATTTTAAGACGCAATTCTTTTAAGTGTTTATAAATAGAACCTTAGGAAATTGGTATGATGTACAAAGTGAAAAAGATGCTAGAGTATGATGTATTCAAGATTTTAGTGGAAGGAAAATGTAGTTGCAAACGGCTCTCAGGAACCTCATAGGTTCTAAAAGTATTTATGAAGATAAATATAAAATTAGTAACTAAATATATAAGCAGTGTTTGCATCTTTTACTTCGAAGACTTAAGCGTCTGTTGATAATATTTCGATATAAATAACTTGCCTTGATGTGAGCATGATTACATGTCGAACTCAAAGAAGAAACATTACTGAATTTTGTATGTCTTTATATCTTAAATTTTCTTTTATTACATGGTGCAAAGTTTATAACACAGTAACGCTGTTATTCGAGAACAAAATCCTATTGAATCAGTAGATAGTCAATTCAATCTAGTTGGCAAAGCCTTTATTATTTATTAATATTGTGACTGAGTCAAAAATATATCACCTGAGTCTCAGATTCGTAAAAATTAGCGTTTAAGTTTATTTATTTCGTAATTTTAGCCGTTGATGTACTTCTAGAGCAGTAGAATGACGGAATTATTTTCCGCGAGCCAAAAATTAGCACAGGCTACATTTGTTGTTTATTTTTTATTTGTAGTATATAGCACTTTATTCTTTTAGGTGTTTTATTTTGTAGTTCTCTTTTTTGTTGCACAAGAATTACATTTTTTCATGTTCTTGCACTAGTTTTTAAGTTACCACAAATGATTTGCTTTTCAAATTAACAGGAAACATTTCTGTGTGTATATACATTGTAACTAAACAAATTAAATGTAAGTGTGTCTAAAATTAACGCTTTTATAAAATTTTGTGAGTTGACGTTTAAAAATTACTACATAAAATATCCATTTATGCTATTTTTAGCAGATTGGACTTTTACTAAAGAATGATCAGTGATTTTGATATAGTAATTAGTTTTATCTTTTATATTTTTATAATTTTTTATTATTTATTCTTTAGAATTGGTCATACAAATCTTAAAAATAGCATATTGGTAAGTAATAAAGATTTAGGTTGTCAGAATGTTAAGTGTGCTGCATTTTTGAGAAAGTTTTGTTTTAATATAATTTGAATTTACATACCAAACACTGTGTTATGAAAAACATTGAATAAAATCTGAATAACACAAATGTGCATCATTTTAAATACCCACCATTTCTAAGAACATTCGCAGTAGACTTGGCTGCCATTTATGTCGGGATGAAAGACAAACCAGTTAAGTCAGTACTACCTGATTGAAAGAAAGATAGTAAAAAATCATGGAATTATTTCTTCATCTATCTTGCATATTCATGGTCAGATAATTGAATAACTCTCTATACGATATGATTTGATAAAATAGACTGGAAGTGATATCACTGAACATCAACAGTTCCAGCTGACAATAATAGAAAAAAGATAATTAGTTTTTTCAAACTTCTGCGTTTCTACTTTTTCTTAACATTTCTATAAAACTCATTTTATATCTAAGCCTAAATATTTCCAGGAATAGAAGAGAAACAAAAAAATGTTTTCTATTGAAAGTGATCGCTAGGTTTTAATATTATAGCTGATTTTCAAGTCTGTAAAATATCTATAAGATCAAAACAATATAACCTACACTATACCCTTCTCAAAAGTAAGATCCATAGCATTGGAGGTTAGGAAAAATATTTTAAATCGGAAACTATCTTTAAAAAAACTTATTTTACTTGATTAATATATAATATAGTATTGTGTTCCAAAGAGTTTTGTAGGTCGAAATTCTTAAAAAATCATGACCTGCTCAGAAGGACCAAACATTTTGATCTAAAATCGCCCGTACCTTCTAGATCTGAAAGAATACATGGTGGGTATTATAATGGCTTAAAAAGTTTTGATGCATCTCAAGAAATACACACGTCGAAATGTTTCCTGTGACTCGTCGTCGGGATAATTGACATTTGCAAGGCTTGGGTTGTAGTTATAAATGGTATGTGTGTGGTGGTATAATGTAGCATAATGTCCTTGTCCCGGCAGCGCCCGCTTCCTGTCAGTGTTCCAACAACAACCCGAGCAGTTCCGTCCGGCCAAACAGTTCCGCGAAGTTCGGCTGCGAAGCGGATCACCTTCGATGAACCGAGCAGACCTGTACCAAAGGTGAGAGCCAAAAAACTGGCTGATTATTGTATCTTTACAAAGAGAGTAAATGAGTGGAGTAAGCTCCACTCATTTTGATTATCCAAATTAGGCGGCGCCAGTTCAATTTAATTATTTTTAAACGAATATAGATTAAATATAATATACAGTATGTTTTGATAGTTATCCCGTTCTTGATAGCAAATAAATTGCTCTAGAAATTTAACACACACATTAAAGCAGTTTTTAGGAAAGGTATGGGAAGAAGTCTGTGCAAAACACTATACAATCACATCCATATTGTCTGTTCAAATTTATAACAGATCACAAGTCCTAAGATTGCGACTGAGATTGTTTTATAAAGAAGTCTAGACTACAACTATACAATCGTTCACAACTACTAATTGACGTTTTTGTTCATATAAATGTGGAAACCAAAACTTGAAAACCACCCAACAAAGCAGCAAGTCCATAGGATATTTAATGGAATTGTGAATAACCTTTGCTGAACAGAAATATTGTATTTTTTGTTAGAAATAATGACACTAAATCCAATATTTACACAATTGAATGTAGCGTCCTGGAGCCACTACTTTTGCTAATCTTTCCAACAGATGTACCCAAAATATCATAATTTAATTTTTCTCAAGTGATATACCTGTATTATCATCTAGTGAAAGCGCGTTAGATGCATCTTATTATCTCCAAACCCACGTAAATTTACCTGGAGAATGGTGAGCCAATGACGAACAAACTTATTGCAGGTAACTTTCATAACCCAGAGGGAAATTGCACTCGGCTCACACTAAACAATATATATCTGTAAGAAAACAGTTTCAGAACTAAACAAAATTTCAGAATTTAGCTCGGAAATTTGGTAGTACACCATCCGTAAGCAATGAAACAACTCCTAAAAATGATGGCAAGTCGTCCGTGTAGTTTTACTCAGTTAACGGTTGGGCAAGAATTAGGAACCCAGTTGTAACCGCATATGAGACTAGTCCAAATATCTACGAAAAATTCTTGTTGAAAACGCAATATTGGTATTGCGTGCAGATTGATCAAAGATAATCGCATTCCCGGTGGAACGAGGCATAATCGAAAAATTTTCAATTATAACTTTGACGTTGCTAAAATCGATGTTAAGATACAGGACAGGGCTAGAAGTACAGATACACGACGAAGATACAAGATAGAGAACATCAAAGACTGGGTAAGAAATAGAAAAATAAAATGGAACGATGGTATATGCCGAATAACAACAAATGGAGTAGTAAAGACGGCAAGAGACGGTTCCCCAATAGGAACCGTCAATAGCCGATCAGTGGAAAGACCATAAAAACGATGGAACGACAACTTACTGAAGGTGCATTGAAAAACACAGAAGTTATTACACAAAAAGAAAAAGAAGAACTTAGTAGACGTTGCCTTGGAAATTAAAAAACGATAGAACTATTTCCATGAATATAATAATCACACTAAAAATTGGATTTGATTTAAAAGAAATGCAGGATAATTGTTTATATATTTACTGAAACAGTAAAATAACAATAGAATAAGCAAAATAATGACTACGTTAAGTAAAATTTATTATTTACTAGTTTCAATTTAGAAACACTTTATAATATATGCGGCCTGGCTAGCTAAAAGGTAGCACGAAGTCGTAATCTGTCTAAGACAGTTCCTCTAGGCTTTTAGAGGATATGAGATGGTTTGGAGACGACGTTAAATTATATGTCCCGTATATCTGTGTACACTGAATGATCCACTTGTATGTATGTATAATAAAGAGGTAATATATACATTTTCTTCCTATGCCGTCCACATTAACGGAGATTGGCGACCACATTTCTAAAAGTTTCTCTGTATTTTGCAACGTGGAATAATTCATCTACAGTCATGTTTGTCCAGTCTCGAATATTTCGCAGCCATGACTTCCTCTTTCTACCTATTTCCCTTTTGCCATCGACTCTACCACTCTACCCTGCATGATGACCTGCAGAAGACTATATTTATCATTCCTCAGTATGTGTCCAAGGTATGGAGTCTTGGGTACATAAATACTAGGTATATACTCCTCTACAATTGAATGGGTGATTCCAGTAACTCTATATATTTTTGTGTAAATTACTCTTACTTTAATGTAAAAGTACTCTCAACAATGCCTTGCATAAAGTGTCGTGACTAGAGCATCGAATATGTTTGTACCAACAAAGACTAACCTACATATACTTCATCTAATTTAGATAACGACTTACGTCATTATCTACGTCAGAGATCGAAGTTGACATAGTTGCCAAAGTATAAAAAAATCCTGACTCTATTTTAAATCAAATAGATTACATAATTATTGCAAAAGCATTACCATCTCTTTACAACGACTATTTAAATTCTTACGTGACATTTTTGGAAATAAAACACACTAATTTTGTTCTAAAAAGAACAGATTTTATTAGATAGTTAAAAATATAAAACAAGAGATATTCACTTTAAAATTCAAAATAATGAAGTACAAAAAGTGTCAACATCGCAACTGTCAAATAAGTGTTACCAATTTATGCCAAAATTTTACCTTCGTTCGATTACAGTTACAGTGTGTTCCGAACAAATGTTCTTAATAAAAACGCTTTATAATGCATTTATTCAAATTAAATGAAACCTATTATTGTGTATTTCTTCAAGTTAACATTAATAGAAATTTTAAAATATGATTTCTACGCGTATATAATAAAATATGTCTAATGGCTGTAATGTCAGTGTACTTGGTAAAGTGATTCTAAAAAAGAACACACCTACACCCTAAATATTTTGTGTTGGTATCATGTGACGTCACAGGCTATGACGCCGATGACGTGCATCGTTATATAAATTAGATGAAGTGTACATGAGAGGGAACGAGAACAAGCTATATCTCATGCTGAAAACCGTTTCATAGACACGTATCGTGGTTGCAAAAGAATCACAGCATTATGTGATGTTTCAAGAATAAACACCTTTTTCGGGAAAACTCCTATCAGACACTGTCAAGTTTATCATCATCACTGGTTCTACAACCATTTTTGGGCCTTGGTCCTCTTCCAGGATTCTTCTCCATTCTGATCTATTTCATGCTTTTTTCTGCAATTTTTTATTTTTAAGATTATGTTATTTTCTATTTGTTCCATATGTACCATCCAACGCTGTCGTATGTGTCAAAAGATTTTTCGTTCAAAGGTAGCTAATAATCTTTCTTCGCTTTTAGAAAGTGTCCAGGTTTCTGAACCAAATATGAGTACCGGTCTTATTAAGGTTTTATATAGTTGGCATTTTGTTTTTCTTGTGACGTTATCTAAACTTTAAGCTAAGCCAACATTAAACAGCATCTAATTAAACATTTATTGGCAATGAGTATATGCCTCTTTAGTTCCTCTGCAACGTTTTTATAGGACTAGCGATCTCAAGTATGTACATCTGTTATGCCCTCAATGTTTTATTCTCCTATTGTTAAATTTTGTAGCTGCCTGATTTCTGCGTTTACTTGAAGTGAATTTAATGAAAAGAAACCTGCTTCAAGTAGGGTACTAACACCATGCGTGCAAATTGCAATGATCAGAAGAACACAGTAACGGAAATTTACAAAATTTGACGCAAGCACGTTTTTTGGTGGTGGATTTGTTGTTCGTATAGATGACTGCCGCTACATAACAGATTATCGTATAATTCGCTTTTTGGTAATAGGCGAAAGTTGGCGTAGCCACTTTGCTGGCCAGACATGAATTGTACTTAACACATTTGGTCTGAAATGTCGGGTCATACCAGATACAGTACCTACCCCAAACAGTAGAAAAATTTAACTACTGAGTTGCAGGCAATTTACCCACTCTTAACTGAAACTGCATCATAAAATATGGATAAAAAAAAGTAGGGAATAAAACGGTTTTGGGAATTTTCAGTTTATTTTACATTAAAAATTATTTTCAATAACACTAATTTTATTTGGTAACTTCGGGAAGGGTGTGTATATAATATATTTTGTGATACATTACTTACCCAGTGGAAGAGCACTGTATATTTTTAAATATTTGGTTTAACCACCGACATTTGTGTGGGTCTAGGCTTAATACTAACACAAACCTATACAATATTGTTTTCCCTAATCAGCTATATTTATAAATATTTGTAACAAATATAATTTTGGTGAACTATATTTATATTTAATGCATTTGCTTTGTATTTAGTGAATTATTTAAAAGAAATATACAAAATAATAACAGCGTGCAAGTCAGAATGAAAGGAGATCTGAAACCAGTTGTAGGTTCACCATAGGAGAAAACAAAGGCAGCGTAGTAAGTTCTATTCTGTTTATCATGTGTGTCTTTTATTGTAAAAGCAGAATAACTTCATATTTTTGTTTCATTGTAAAGGTGAATCAACCCCATCATTTACAATATAAGCATATAGATAATGTTACTCAGTGAACTGAAACTATTAAGTACTTCCAATAAATGAAGATTTGCGACGAATTAAACTTGAAAATACAATAAGCTGATGAAAACGACAAGAGTGTGGGGAGCAAATATAAAAATTCCATAAAAGTTTAGAATAATACATACTAACTTTTGTTTTGCAGTAAGCTTTTTAAAATTAACTAGGTCGGTAGGGAACTACAAAATAGGTCCCTATACAATTTGGAAATTATATTGTTTTATAATGATATGGTGTAGATATATATCTGCAACAAAGTTGAAGAGATAACTTAAGAAGAGACTTAAAACCGCATGAAGCGTTATACAACCATGCCGTCGTGTATTACTTACTGTTTTTCTAACGCATATGACAGAAATATCAACAATCATTTCTCTTTTGAAGCTTGAACAATACTGTGATATTATTAAAACCGTTGACCGACAATCCTTTACATCTAGAATTTCTTTTCTTTCTTTGGCGATGGAGAATTTGGAATAATCTGGACTGCTAGTCACCTGCATAAATAAATTATGAGTGGTGGTTGACATTTGAAAGTAATCATATAATTGAATGTC